AAATGGCTGAAACCAAAGTGAGCTTGAAGCTTCTGGTTGACAGGAAAGGTCACAGAGTTCTCTTCGATGAAGCTAGTGTTAGGGATTGAGTTCAGAAGGCTTGGGCCCTTAGGCCTATTGCGTATTTGTTCCCCTCGTAAGGGACACCTCCCCAGGGATCGAACTCGAGGCCCCATGGGGCTCCTTTTGATGAAGAGGATTTCACGAGTGACCCTAGTACCACTTGAGCTGATCAGCTCAAGTGGTACCAAGGGTCACCTGCGATGTCTCTACGGGAGACCTCAGGTTCAATCCCTAAGGAGGCCCTTCCTACGGGAGGACAAACAAACAATACATCAAGCCTAGGAACGGCCCCACGGAGTGCCCCTGGCAAAAAGGCAGGCCTTTATGTTAGGGATTGGGCTCGGAAGCCTTGGGCCTATTGCGTATTTGTTCCCCTCGGAGGGGATGCCTCCCTAGGGATCGAACTCGAGGCCCTATGGGGCTCCTCTTGATGAAGAGGATTTCACGAGCGACCCTGGTACCACTTGAGCTAATCATCCCTGGGGAGGCGTCCCTTTCGAGGGGAACAAATACGCAATAGGCCCAAGGGCCCAAGGCTTCCGAGCCCAATCCCTAACATAAAGGCGATTAGCTCAAGTGGTACCAAGGATCACCTGCGACGTCTCTACGGGAGACCTCAGGTTCGATCCCTTACGTTAAGCCCAGGAATGGCTCCACGGGGTACCCTTGGCAAAAAGGCGGGCCCTTATGTTAGGGATTGGGCTCGGAAGCCTTGGGCCCTTGGGCCTATTGCGTATTTGTTCCCCTTGGAGGGGACGCCTCCCGAGGGATCGAACTTGAGGCCCCATGGGGCTCCTCTTGATGAAAAGGATTTCACGAGTGACCCTAGTACCACTTGAGCTGATCAGCTCAAGTGGTACCAGGGGTCACTTGCGACGTCTCTACGGGAGACCTCAGGTTCAATCCCTGGGGAAGCCCCTCTTATGGGAGGACAAACAAACAATACTCAAGCCTAGGAACGACCCCACGGGGTACCCCTGGCAAAAAGGTAGGCCTTTATGTTAGGGATTGGGCTTGGAAGCCTTGGGCCTTTGGGCCTATTGCGTATTTGTTCCCTTTGGAGGGGACGCCTCCCCAGGGATCGAACTCGAGGCCCCGTGGTAGGGATTGGGCTCGGAAGCCTTGGGCCCTTGGGCTTATTGCATATTTGTTCCCTCCTTAACATAAAGGCCTACCTCTTTGCCAAGGGTACCCCGTGGGGCCGTTCCTGGGTTTGACGTATTATTTGTTTGTCCTCCCGTAGGAGGGGCCTCTCGTAGGAGGGGCCTCCCTAGGGATCAAACCTGAGGTCTCTCGTAAAGACATTGCAAGTGACCTCTGGTACCACTTAAGTTGATCAGCTCAAGTGGTACCAGGGTCGCTCATGAAATCCTCTTCATCAAGAGGAGCCCCACGGGGCCTCGAGGCCTCGAGTTCGATCCCTCGGGAGGCGTCCCCTCCGAGGGAAACAAATACGCAATAAGCCTAAGGGCCCAAGGCTTCCAAGCCCAATCCCTAACAGCTAGCAAAGAGTTTGTTAATTTCCTGTTCAACCTACAGTCCCTGCCTGTTAGAACGGTGATAAGGATTCTGTCTCAACAGGGCATGGAGGGTTCTCTTGAAAAACTTTATGAAAGCATTGAGAATATGAATGATGCTTCTATACAGGCATCGCAAGCAGCAAAGGATGCCTAGTTAAAGCCTAAGGTTACTGCATCAGCTGGAGCAGCTGTTCCTAGCTAGTCTATTACCAAACGATGATCGGACAGCAAGTACATGTTTTTATGGGTGTGGGAAGCAGCAATTACGGTTATAATAATACAATCTGTGCAGCTCATGTGACAACTGACTCGAGTGCTAAATTTCCTTTTGATTGGAAGCATATTGAACAGAACTATAACATTTTTTGATCGACCAAAGAAGAAGTCTATCTTGAAGGTGGTTAGGTAAAGGGGTAGTGACCTAGATGATAATGGATGATCTAGAGGTGAAACCAATGTCTTCAATTTCCAGAATCACTATGCTCAACAAGTTCAATGTTAATGATACTGGGGTGCTTGTCTGCTTGATGTAGGCATGGATCAGTTATGCACCTAAATTCGTCACAATATTGATTCTTGTTTACACGATTGGTTGTGGTTGTGGTTGTAATTATAGTTATGTTTAACACTTTAATAGGGAGTGAAATTGCTGGAGGCATCCTTCCATTCTAGGATTATTCTTACTGAAGTATGCATTGAGAAGAAACCTAACTCTGTTGATGAGTGAGGTTGACTAATTTCACTTAGGCGGAATTATTTTCATATGAGCCGTTCTTGGTGTGCTCTGCTTATGATCTTTTTGAAAATGGTTGGTTCATATTTTTCTATTATTCTCCTGAGTTGGAAGAGTGAAATATGTTTCAAAATGTGATAAATTCATGTTCTTGTTTTATCTTGTTTATGTGAAGCACTATTGTCCTCTCTTAACACATGTTAAGAAAAGTGATTCATTTGAGAGTTGTGATTGAATCTTACTTACACTAAAAAGATGTAATGAGAATAAGTTATATTTATCTATATATGTATAAAGGCTCATGAACTTAGGTTAGTTTTTTACATTTAAAGTAATTTCTCAAACTCATATTTATTGAGTTTATTTGAGTTCTTATAAGTTCAATCTCTCCAAAACACTAATAAAAGAGTTCTATACGTAAAAGTTCACATTTTTTTAAAATGATTTTCTTTCATTGCCATTTTAGTAATTATAAATTTTGGGTTTGTTTAACATATTCGCATATGCTAAGATTCATTAATTATAATATCTATAATTAATTTTATAAAAATTATCATATTAAATTTATATATATATTTTTTATAGATTTTGATTATAAATATTGTATTGTATTATATTTTATACTAATTGAATTAAATATAAAAATTTATATAAAATTAATTAAAAATATCATAATTAATAAAATTTAATATGTATTGTAAGGGTTGAGTTATAAAGTCCCACAAACTCCTCGGCAAAAACACAATCACATGCCAGGTAACAAAAAGAGAAAAAAAGGGGAGCCCATTGCACAAATAGGAATGTAGTCCAGTTTAAAGATCTGAGTTGGGTTGATTTTCCATTTTAAACCCGAAATTAATAAGCTCACACCCTTTAATCGAACTTCAAAATCAAGGGCACAAAGGGAATGAAGAAAACACCCTCACCTAATCACAACGGCTACTTTCTTATTCCTTGGTAATAAATCCAAAATGCAACCGACCATTCCTCTTTTTTCCAGCTTGGCTTGAGGCTCCCCACCCACCACCAATTAGATCCTCTCGATCTCCTTACACTCCCCTTTCCCTTTGGCCCTTAAAAGCTCCCTTATTCATGAAAACCCTCTCCTCGCCCAAAACCCCCTATTTTTGCCTTAAATCACTCCTCTAAAATGTCCCAAAAAACAAAACCCATGTTGCAGAAGTTCTCAAATCTTCTCAAACTATCCATTTTCCTCACCAAGTTGAGGAAACCCATTATTGCCAAGCTCATTTTCCTCAAGAAATCTAGGAAGCTCAAGAGATTTCAGCTTCTTAAGCATTACAACTACCGTTTCCTCGAGGAATATCAGTTCTCGCCGTCCAATACTCCGATGATTTATTACCACACACGGTGGTTCCGAAATAAAAGATGCGGCCGGGGTATGGGCTCGGTGCTCTTTCTGTGTAGATGTTTCGGCGGTGTTAAAGGCTGGAAAGAAGAAGCAGACTGCGCTTTGGTTTTTTACTGGGATGCTCTGCCTCCTATTACGGAGCAGCTTCCAGAGCCGTTGGATAGGGACGAGGAGGAGGAAGATTCGGTTGATCGGAGGGCTGAGAAGTTCATCCAGAGGTTTTATGAAGAAATGAGAATGCAGAAGCAGGAAATAATATAGAGAAATTTTATTTTAATTATTTTAGTTTTTAACTTGTTCTCTGTCTTACTTAATTTAAGAAAATGATTAATATATTTTCTAATTCATCACATTTTATAACATATTTATTAAAAAATTATTATTTTTAAATTTAAATTCATAATAAGAAAATCTTTAAAGATAAGTTTTATTGATTGAAGCAAAATGTGTTTAGAGCTTGTTAAATTAAAAAATATATCAATAATTTTCTTTTAATTTAAGAGTTGCGGAAAGGTTCATTCTTTGGGACATTTTTAGTTATCGATTTTGTTTTGAGTATGTGAATTAAATTGTAAACCGGGGTTGGGGTTTCCATGTGACAGATGAATGAAGTTCATTTTTCTTCAATTCATTTTATTTATTTTTATTTTTTTGATGAGCTCAGTTGCATATTATAATCACCTAGACGTATACTCTACATTTGAAATTGTGGTTAAGTGCTATATTTATGATTTTTTTAATATTTTATTATAAAAAATTATATTATTTAATAATTATATTAAATAATTATATATATTAATATAATTATTAAATTATATAAAGTATTAATTAAAATTAATTTAATTATAATAAATTACTTTTATGAGAAATCGAGTGAAAAAATGTGGTGGCAAACTAACCCCAAATGTGACTTTAAAATTTGTTTGGGGTTAAAGCCAACTGTAATCCTCATACTTTGTAAAAATGTTCATTACCATCCCTCTACTAATGAAATGTTCAATGTCATCTCTCTACTTTTCTTGCACCATAAATGTCATCCCTCTACTTTCCCTTTTTTGTTCAATGTCATTCTTAATTGGATGTCATCCATTTTGCTGTTAATTTTGACAGTTAATTACCTAACAGTCAAATATTCTACTTTTGTTTGTGAATTTTTCTAAGAGCACATATTAATTATGCTTTTTTGTAATAAATTTGTATAAGAAAATATAAAAGTAAACATTAATTTTAGTTTTATTATCACGTAAATAAATTTAATTAGACAGTTGATAAATTAAATATTACTTTTTATGTTTTTAAAACTTTTAACCGATACCCTAAAGACACAAATTAGAATAACCCTTAAGACACAAATTAGAATAACCATTTATTTATTAATTTTTTATCCATCTAGTGAGACTAGTGGGACCAATTTCTTTATTTTTTTTAGTTCTGTATTATTCTTTTTGACTTTAGCACCTAAATTAACGGAATTTGTTAATTCTCTGTTAAAATTGGAATAAAATAGTTATAGGATTAATCATTCAAAATTAAAAATGTAACAATTTAATTCTTAAAGTTCAAAAATTATAAAAAATTAGTAAACTAACAAGAATTAATAGATGACTTTTTCACATATACTAAAACATATACTAAAACGGTATTAGATATTTATAATCGAATCGAGCGAATAGCTTAATTCGGAGAAAGAATTTTGACTGAAATTAAGGAAAATTTCTTAACTAAATTAAGATAGAAAATTTAAAAGATCAGAAAAATATAGCCAAGAATTTTTTTTTAATCAGTTGAGTTAATTGTAGATATCTAACATTGTTCTCATACATATAATAAAGTCATTTACTAATTATTTTTAAGTTATTAATTTTTTTTATTTTTTTAACTTTTAGAATTAAATTGTTACATTTTTAATTTTTGATAATTGGTCTTATAAATATTTTTTTTATTTTAATAGAGAGTTAACAAATTCTGTTAGTGAATAAAAAATCAATTAACAAAAATTAAATGTTTGACCATTAGGCAATTAACAGTCAAAGTTAACAACAAAATAGATGGCATCCAATTAAGGATGACATCTAACAAAAAAAGAGTAGTAGAGAGATGACAATTATGGTGCAAGAAAAGTAAAGGGATGACATTGAACATTTCCTTAGTAGAGGGATGGTAATGGGCATTTTCACAAAGTACAAGGACTACAGTTGGCTTTAACCCAAGTTGTTTGTGAGTGTTGTGTTATGTAGTTGTTATAAGGGTTCTTTTTCTCTTACTATTTTGAAGATACATAAAATATTAAGTAAAATTAATAAAATATATAAAAACAATGGGTTCTTTTAATATGTATTTTTAGAGGATAATTTAAGAACATCTTTTTAATAGTAATTAATTATCATTGAAAAAATAAAATTTAACATTTATCTAATCAATCATCCAATTAAAATAATACATA